GGACCGGGGGGGGGGGGGGGGGGGGGGGGGGGGCTTCGTTCAACAGCAGATCACTGCGGCCAAAAGAGGTGGGAGGGACGTAAAGGATCTCTTGCTGGCGTCCTCCGGATAGCATTTTAGATTCACTGCGCGTGTGTCAGTATGTTTGACATTTTTTAAATTATGGAAGTCCTCTTACGGCTGATCAATTTTTCAAGTCTGTGAGAGGAAAAAAAAAAATCTTAAACCACCAAGAAGCTAGGAAAACTTCATGAGGGAGATCAGCCTATAGATCTAATCAAAATTATCAACGCATGTTATCAATAACAGTTTGGGCTTTCATTTTTCCCCCCTCTAATTCTCAAGTCTGTTGGACGTTAATTTAAAGGGAATTACTTACATTACCAGACTTATTTAGAAGATTAAATCTGATGACTCTTTGGTCTTTATGAACGTTTTTAATACTTCCTGGCATTTCACTCTGTATAATACCGTATGCGGTTAGCCACACGCGGCAAGTGTCGAAAAGGGTGGCGTGGTGGCGTCAAGGGTGGACAAGGGTGGAGTGGTGGCGTCAAGTGTGAACAAGGGTGGAGCGGTGGAAAGATGCGCATTGTTTGAGCACAGCGCCTCGTCCTTAAACATTTCCGTGTTCAACAACAAATCCCCACAAATCGATCGCTGCAGTGCCGCACTCTTACGGAAGACAAAACTCGAAATAATCGATAATCCACAGATCCGTCGCAGCGACTGGCTGTCTTGAATGTCTACTTTGCGGTCTATTTTCATCGGCTATGACGTGGGAGCTATTCCTGGATCACAACAAGGCGTCCTGGCGGGCAACACGGAGTGATGCAAAGAAATCATCGGGACATCACTTGACCTTAGTTGGACCATTTGAACTATATGGTAGACTCCCCCCCCCCCGGCCGCTCCTATTGGTTGCTAATTTGTTGGTAAACGTGGTGGCCGACACGTTATTGTAGTTTTAACCTTGCAGTACCCTTTGTCTAAGGTAGTTTTAACCTTGCAGTACCCTTTGTCTAGAGTAGTTTTAACCTGGCTGTACCCTCTGTCTAGAGTAGTTTTAACCTGGCTGTACCCTCTGTCTAGAGTAGTTTTAACCTGGCTGTACCCTCTGTCTAGAGTAGTTTTAACCTGGCTGTACCCTCTGTCTAGAGTAGTTTTAACCTGGCTGTACCCTCTGTCTAGAGTAGTTTTAACCTGGCTGTACCCTCTGTCTAGAGTAGTTTTAACCTGGCTGTACCCTCTGTCTAGAGTAGTTTTAACCTGGCTGTACCCTCTGTCTAGAGTAGTTTTAACCTGGCTGTACCCTCTGTCTAGAGTAGTTTTAACCTGGCTGTACCCTCTGTCTAGAGTAGTTTTAACCTGGCTGTACCCTCTGTCTAGAGTAGTTTTAACCTGGCTGTACCCTCTGTCTAGAGTAGTTTTAACCTGGCTGTACCCTCTGTCTAGAGTAGTTTTAACCTGGCTGTACCCTCTGTCTAGAGTAGTTTTAACCTGGCTGTACCCTCTGTCTAGAGTAGTTTTAACCTGGCTGTACCCTCTGTCTAGAGTAGTTTTAACCTGGCTGTACCCTCTGTCTAGAGTAGTTTTAACCTGGCTGTACCCTCTGTCTAGAGTAGTTTTAACCTGGCTGTACCCTCTGTCTAGAGTAGTTTTAACCTGGCTGTACCCTCTGTCTAGAGTAGTTTTAACCTGGCTGTACCCTCTGTCTAGAGTAGTTTTAACCTGGCTGTACCCTCTGTCTAGAGTAGTTTTAACCTGGCTGTACCCTCTGTCTAGAGTAGTTTTAACCTGGCTGTACCCTCTGTCTAGAGTAGTTTTAACCTGGCTGTACCCTCTGTCTAGAGTAGTTTTAACCTGGCTGTACCCTCTGTCTAGAGTAGTTTTAACCTGGCTGTACCCTCTGTCTAGAGTAGTTTTAACCTGGCTGTACCCTCTGTCTAGAGTAGTTTTAACCTGGCTGTACCCTCTGTCTAGAGTAGTTTTAACCTGGCTGTACNTCCTGTCCTTTCGTTCACCATACAAATACGCTACAGTAAATTAAAACTACATTAAAACATTACTAAAAAAATTTTGCCCACCCCCCGGGAAAGTTAATCGACTTTTTTGCCCCCCCCCCCCTAGAAAGTTTTCTGCGGGCGCCCATGCCTTGACCGTGGCGCTTGGTTCTGCTGTATTTCTGTGGAATGCAGATGGAGCTGGCTACTGCTGATGACTACAGATCAGCTGTCTCGTGGGTCCCGGAGAGTACTGTGTTGGCTGTAGGCCTAAGCCCTGGAGTTGTGCATTGTGGTACCGACAGGGCCGGCCCTAACAATTGCGGGGCCCTATGCGAAACGGATTGCGCGGGACCCAGTCTGAGTTGGGATAAGGATAATAAGTTAAAATTAAGATTTTGTATTAGAAAAAAAAAAGTGCGGGGCCCACTGCGGCCGCATAGGTTGCAGTGGCCTAAGGCCGGCCCTGGGTACCGACCAGCAAAAAATGATTTGGCCCATGCATCGGGTGTTGGAAGCATGTCATGGAACACACATAGACCGGTACTCTCGAGTGGATCTCGTACTGGTGCTACACACCACATAGATGTGCGAGTGGCAAACCACCAAGTCGCCACCCTGCAGAACCACACCCAAGAAGTTTGTGGACTCCGCTGGTCGCCTGACGGCAGATATTTGGCCAGTGGTGGCAATGACAATCTGATCAATATCTGGTCAAATTAAATTGCTTCCTCACCACCTGTCTGAACTTTGAGTGACCATCAAGCAGCTGTAAATGAAATGGCTTGGTGTTCGTGGAAATTGTACTTGCTGGCTACAGGAGGAGTAACGGCAGACATACACATACGTGGTTGGAATGTCCAGTCTGGTGCCAGTGTAGGCGCACATGATACAGAATCCCAGGTGTGTTCTATTCTGTGGTCTCAAGAGCGTAAAGAACTGATCTCAGGGCACGGTTACGCTCTCAAGCACCGCAGGATTTGGAAGTACCCCACAGAATAAAACCCTTCCGAAGTGGCTTATCAAACCTATTTCAATTTTAGTCATCGTCAAAGTTAACAGGATTCTACAGTACTGTAGATCAGATCTTCACACATTATCAGTTCGTTAGTTTCGACAGTCAGTTGTAATATGAAAGCAGCTTTCAAACTACTGGCTGAACTTTAAAAAAAAAAATCTCCTTTCATTCATTACATTTTTTTTTACCGTTTTTTTTAAAAATAATAAACGTGATAAAACATGCTTTGAACAGCAATTTCAAATATTCTTTGCTTAAAAGTTATTGAGTATCGTTGGGTCCTTTTAATTGCATGTTATAGTGAAGTTTTGAAAATAATTTTCAATGTTCAAAGTTGCAGTCATGTTGTGCTTTATATAAATTTAAAAACAATAAATAAATGAAATATTTTTAAAAAGATCAACAACAAAAAAGTCGGGAGGTAGAGCTGAACCGGACAGTAGTGCAGGACAGTAGGGAGAACTCAGCCGGACAGGAGACGTGAGACAGTCGATTCTGGACAGAAGTGAGAGAGAGACAACCAGGACAGTCAGAGTTGAGTGAGAGACCAGAGAAAGCCCATTCGAAGAGCAAAGACTGTCACCATCGTCGAGTTGTCTGATTGGTGAAATACGAGGGACAGATGAAGCAAGAGTTACCACCCAAAAATGGAATAGAGAACGTAAGTAAAACAGAGACGAGTCTAAGTTCTCTACACGATGCAGGTGGGGCAGCCCCGATGTAGGAAAATCTAGCCGGCTGGCGATGCTGCTCTAGGGGCTGGGATGTGGGATGGTACATTTAAAGTCCCTAAAACACCACCCCCACAACACCCCCCCCCCCCGGGGGGGGGGGGGGGAGGGTCGTCGACAGACGCCCCCTAATAGGGTTGCAGACTAAAACCGTTAAATGGTAAGAGTTTTAAAGAATATGGCTACTATGGCTGGTTTGACGAGCCTCCACTGTAGCGAATGGTTAGGGCTGGTGTGGCTGGTTTGGTGGGCCACCAATGTGGCCGACAGTCGTCGTCTAAGAGTAGGGCCCCTCCGTATGACCAAATAAGACAATGCAAGATTCTAGAACTCCGTCGCTGTCTCATAGCCCCGTCAAGACTGGTGTGTAGTAAACTAGTATCAAGTCAAAAAATCACGGGCGGTTTGAATAGTCAGTATTCTTTGATTATTTATATACTGGGTTAAAACACAGACCACAGAAATAACAAACCAGTAATCATTGGCGTCCATAGCAGAAAAAAACAAACTATCTCCTGTCCACAATTCGAAGATGCACTCATCTCTTTAAAATAATAACTCAATCATTTTTTTTTTAATGTCTTCTTGTCGCTCACAACAATAATTACACACCACTTTCCCCAGGTGGTTGGTTTTTAACACACCGCCACGGTCTTCGTCATAGCTCATACGTCATACGTTGCTCAGCAAAACTTCGTGGTATAATTAGGGAAATAAATCAAGGAAACAACACCATCGCTCACCAACACATCAAAACCAGACACAGAACAAAACCATACATAGAACAAAGCCAGCCACAGAACAAAGCCAGACACAGAACAAAATCAGACAGAACAAAACCACTCGATCAGACCGTGAAAAGGTTCTTATTATTTTTAATTGGTGTCCAAATAGATTTGAACCCGTTCAAAGCAATGACTCTACTTTGGATGTCTTGTCTCTCATACACTGCCTCTTTTATGGATGTCTTCTCTCATACATTGCCTCTTTTATGCATGTCTTTTCTCTCATACAGTGCCTCTTTTATGGATGTCTTCTCTCATATACTGCCTCTTTTATGGATGTCTAATCTTGAACACTCCATTTTGTTTCTCTATTCTGCATGCTACCGTATTATCTTCTTCATGTATCGGGGTTGTTGGTTGCTTTGCGTAAATAAAAACGAGGTCACGACTCAACAAGGTTTTGGAACCTGCTGTATTGATGAATACTTGAAACGGCAATGAATGTCTACCTAGCGTTTGTGACTGTGTTTTATATCTTTGGAGCCGGACACAGTTTGTTCAATATCCATGTAGCCAATTATCCGAAGCCAATGTCTTTATTTTAAATATTATTACTATTACTAATCATACGCATTGCACACGGCGAGGAGCACTGTCGTGCACAAACAACGGAAAAATAATTCCGACTCCTGTCGAACGAACTAGGTTTTAATAAATCACATTTAAAACATATTGAATTGTTATTCTACATAATACATTGCACAATAGATTGAAATGCGCACATAAGATAAGAATCGTATTATCTATGCATTAAGTTCTTTAATGCAAAACCTTCAGAGCACGAGTCTTCGATTATCCGAATCATTTGCTATCCGAACCACCCCAAATCTTTCTGATAATAATAGCCACCTACTGTTTTACAAGGTTGAGATATTAAAAGAGACGAATGAAATACGTTGTGATAAGATTTGTATAACCGTCTATAGTTACTCCACTGACGTCTGTCTGTATAACCGTCTACAGTTACTCCACCGACGTCTGTATGTATAACCGTCTACAGTTACTCCACCGACGTCTGTATGTATAACCGTCCACAGTTACTCCACCGACGTCTGTATGTATAACCGTTTACAGCTACTCCATCGACATCAGTCTGTATAAACGTCTACAGTTACTCCACCGACGTCTGTCTGTATAACCGTCCACAGTTACTCCACCGACGTCTGTATGTATAACCGTCTACAGTTACTCCACCGACGTCTGTCTGTATAACCGTCCACAGTTACTCCACTGACGTCTGTCTGTATAACCGTCTACAGTTACTCCACTGACGTCTGTCTGTATAACCGTCTACAGTTACTCCACTGACGTCTGTCTGTATAACCGTCTACAGTTACTCCACCGACGTCTGTATGTATAACCGTCTACAGTTACTCCACTGACGTCTGTATGTATAACCGTCTACAGTTACTCCATCGACATCAGTCTGTATAACCGTCTACAGTTACTCCATCGACGTCAGTCTGTATAACCGTCTACAGTTACTCCATCGACATCAGTCTGTATAACCGTCTACAGTTACTCCACCGACGTCTGTAAAGAAAACCAACAACAACAAAAATCCGGTGATATTTTCCAGGCTAGTCCATAATGGAAGAGTTTATGACAAGAATGAGTGCGTCCAAGGCTGTCCGCTTGGATTAATGGGTTTCTTGAAACAAACATTTCCAGGAAATCGAAACGTTCCTCTTAAACTCGGTTCTCCAAAACAAAGGAGATGAATGTTGGCTGTCGGATTCCACGAGAGAAACCTCTATTTTGATTCGTGGCCTCTCAGGTTACCGATGCTTAAAAAGGTCGACAGTTTTTGTTTTTTATATTTTGCTCTTTCAAACACGTGTAGACAATGCCTTCAACTCGACACCAGACAGTCCCAGAAAGTTGTAGTCAGAGGTGTAGCTAGAGTGTTTGGCGCTCGGGGACAATATTAATTTTTAAGAGCCTCCCTTTCTTTTTTAAACTCTCAAACCCATTATTTTCATCAATAAAATAATATCAAAGCACATTGTTACGCACTGACTTGTATTGGGAGAAAATAATCTCCTATTTTAATTTTAATTGGCTCGTTGTAAACAGTGCCTAACAAAGGACGATACCATATAATCAACAATATTAAAGATACGACCCAAAACAGTTGCTAGTTACAATTAATTAAGATTTATTAATTCTTAAGATAATTACAAAAGAAAAGAAAATATAATTACAATCTTCAACTTACAGTATGGTAGATCTTGTACCGGTACACAGTTAATACAGTTAGAATAATGTGCCAATGAATAATGCGAAATAAACACATATGAGCACACAAATACACAAAGAATATAACACGCCTCGTAAAGTTAATAAAATCTATCTAAATCTCCGTCTCTCCGTATCTGTCAATCCTTTATATACATATAGAGTAAGACGCTTCCAGAAGGACCTTTGACGTGTTGTTTACATATCTCGGGTTAAGGAGTACATTCGAGAAGTTACCCGGAGACATTCTACCCAATGCGTAATTGGAAGCCGATTGTAAACAAGCTACATCAAAGAGATTTAGCCATGCCCACAACAGACGTTACTGACTGCTAGGAGTGTACTACGAGGTCGAGGAAAGTTCACGCACAGGAAAGTGTGCTACATAACACACATTTTGGCACCCTTAACTAGTTTGGCGCCAAGGGACATCTTCACCCCCTCTCCCCTCTAGCTACGCCTCTGGTTAAAGCCGATCATGTCCTGCTCATGATGCCCGACAAAACTATTCAGACATTTCTTTTTAATCATTAACTTAAAATACCCCCCCCCCCCGGCCCCTTTTCTTTTTTTCTTGGATATTAAAAGCTTAAGTCCTCAACAACAGAGACGGAGTGAGAACAGCCTTATTTGATTCACACACCTATGCCCTTGAAACTTTGGCGCATTTTGTCGTAAAAACTGATTTTAAATGGGAGAGGAAAAACAAACATGATATTAGTAGAAAATATGTCAGTTCCATCATTTTGAACACGTACTTTTACGGGTTTTACAGTAATGAAATGCTCCAGCATTAGACAGAAACTCGTCCCTCTCCCCCCCCCCCCCCAAGACAGCGACTAGGGCATGACAGACAGTTCCGGCACACAACAGCAAGAACACAGTACATACACTTCTCATTCCTGCCAAAGGCACTCAGGGACTGGAACAAGCTTCCAAAAGGAACAATTGCGGCGACAACACTTGACACATTTGCGTCTATTGCCTCCTGCCTTCCGACCCCCCAGTTCATAATGCCATTGCTGAGTAGCATAGCAACCAGGGTCCTTTTCAAAACCAAGCATAGAAATTTCGCGAACCAACTTTTCATTTATAGGAGCCAGAATGATCACTACATTATCGCGGGCCCTCTGAATGTAATAGAAGAAATCTTAAGTTCTTAAATATAAATCGGCTCCAAAGCCTTGATTATTTGGTTGTAAAGTTGTTGTTTTTTGTTGTTGTTTTTTT